TCCCCGGGGGGCCCAGAGAGATGGGGGGGGGGGGGGGAGAGGAGAAGGAGGTTTACTATACACGCTTGGCAGCGGACCCAGAAGTGGACTGAAAGTACTTCCGATCCATTTCTGGGTCCACTGCCAAGCATGCGGGGGACCTCCCACACCTCCCTGGCTCAGCAATCGGCCACGGGGGGACCCCGGGTACCCCCTCAGATCCAAGAGGCACCAGTCACCAAGCCAAGGTACCCTCCATGGCAGACCCAGAAGTACTTCTGGTCCACTTCCAGGTTCGCCGTTGAGCTGAAGCAGGACCCTGCCACACTCCCATGGGATGCTCCATCCACCCCACCATCTCGATTTGGAGAGATTAATGGGTCTTCTGATTTGATTCGGATTCAGGGATTTGGCCACCAAATCGGGCCAAATCTCCTCCAAATCAAGTCAGCGACTGAAGCTTCGCACAGCCCTAGTGATTAGCACTAAAATGTTTTCAGAGAAGTTAAAGAAAAATGTATACAATATTTTATTTCTGAAGATGAAACAAAATGTTTGATTTATTTTCCTTAAGCATGACTGTAAAATAGTATCATGGCATAACTTACACTTGCTGTATGATTTCCATGTCAAAAGATACCCTGCTTAATATGTAAAAAGCCATTTTTCTAACTGTCAAGACTGAAGACTTAGAGTGAAGCCCAATAATTAAGCCAAGTCCTTTCTCTCTGATGCATCATCACCATTAAAAAAGCCAAATGTTCCCCTCTGATACTGCTACAGCCACAAAGTCTTCATATTATTCTCTGAATGATATCTGTACAACCTCACTGTCATCAATAGAACTGAACACCTATAACCATTTAAAATTGAATGGGAAAGAACCTTATTGATGATACATAAAAATGACACAAAATGCATCTCATGTCTTGCATTACTGTGTTTGTTCTTCAGGACTAACAAGAATAGACAGCAATGAAAGCATTTTAGTCACAAAAGCAAGCAGGCTGACCCAGGGAATGCATTCAGGATTTGGAGTTTATGAGTAAGATTATGGCCTAATCTGAATAACAAGTTGAAGAATGACTGTGAATGGATAATTATTCTACCTCTGGTATGTGAGAAGCTAGGTACATCCAAAACAAACAGCCTATTTTTGCTGCCTGACAACCTACACCTGCTCAATTTTAAGGTTTTTTTTCCATTGCCTATACTAGTAATCTTTAAACTAGTGTCCTGTGTACTCTACAGTAGACGTGTGCGAAGCCAGTAGATCAGCTAGTATTCGCTTTGGATTCGGCCAATTTGGGGGACAGCAATTTAATTCAGTGATTCAAATCACTGTCTCGAATTGATTTGGATTAATCGGATTTAGAGATCTGGCCGTGGCCAAATTGGACAGACCACATTCCCCACCTGCTGTCCCAGCCCTATCAATGGCTGGTGCTCTGCCTGGTCCCAGCTCCCTGCTGTTTAAAAAAAAAGCCCAGAACTCACCAGCTGCTGCCAGGTGGTGTGGGTGTGATCCCCGCTGCCCCGCACTGCATGGCTGCTGCCCTGCAGTCAGAGTCCAGTTCCAGCTCCCTGCGGCAGTCAGTGGGGACTGCCTGAATCTCTGAAGCTCTCCGAATTGATTTGGAGACTTTTGAATTGATTCGGACCATTTTACTGGTCTCCTGATTTGATTCAGATTCGAAGATTCAGCTGCCAAATCGAATCAGCACCTGAAGCTTCACACAGCCCTAACCTACAGTACCTCAAATCATATAATAGAGAAAGAAATTTTTTTTTCACAACCTAAAAAAAAGTTATAAAGGGAAAGCTGTGTCCCCAGCCCCCATGTTCTACTACTCACTTCTCCTATTGTACCACCAAAAGAACCTCTTCTCCAAAACTTCTTTTTCTCCTTTCCAACATTAATGGAAATGGAAAATATACTTGTGTTGGGGGAATCTCTTTGGAGATCCGGACTCCACAGGAGACCCAAGTCACAGCCATATTCTTCTGCAGCCCTTGCAATGCTCCCAGTTGCTTTTTGTTAGGAAGCATGAACTAAGATCTGTTGAGCGTGCGCACACATTTTTCAACACAGACATTTAGGGAGATCAGATTGAGTTGAAAGTGACCACCCCATCAAAGTCGGGATGGATGGGCTAGCAGAGGCGGTTTGTGTGGGGCAAACAGGGTCCACAGGAACGGTTGCTGGTTTTCAGGAGTGTTTTTTAGGATCAGGAAGACTCATGGAGGGCCTTAGGGGGATATTTTTAGGCCCCCAACCCCGCCTCCATCTCCATATGAAGACCCCCCACAGCAAGTCAACCCTCTTATTCCGCCCACCCCTCACCACACTGGGACTTACTTGGTCAGCTTCTGGCTGTGGCGAATGCTGGTAAAACTGGCACTGGGAGCAGCTTGTGCAATGGGGGAGTTTGGCAGTCTCATGGGGGCTGGCTGGTTCACAGGGAGAACAATATCAGTCTGGGGGTAAGGGGAGGGATCAGTGGGATAAAAATAGCCCAGTGCCAGGGAAGGCATAGTAAAGGCACACCTCCAGGGCTGGGGCTAGAATCTGGTCTTTCCCAGCCCTAGGGCTGCCCAGGGTACTGTACAGAAGTTTAGGACACTTAGATTGGTCTAAAAATGGCCAACTTGATCTAAGTTAAGTGTACCTCTGAGGTAGAGTTAACTTGGATCAGTTCAGCCATTTTTAGACCAATCTAACTCTCCTGAACTTCTGTACAGCCCACACTTAGATAGACCTAACTAGGGATCCAAGTGTAAGGTCTTCACCTGGGTGAATTAAGTTAGACCAGGTGGCCATTTTTAATGCCATCTAACCTGTCCCTAATGTCTGTATGCACCTATAGAGTGCTTGCATCACACCTCATTTGGAACTTCATTACTTGGACTTACGAATATTAAACGGAAAGAAGACAAAAAGCCATACAGGATAAACTCTCTTCTTATTGCCCTGAGCTGCCTGCCATGTTCCACTGGCATGACTGTGGCTCCCAAATCTGCTACCTGTCTCAAATAGGAGGTGGTAAAGAGAAGTCTAAAAAGATGTCTCTCGCCTCCTAATCTCCAAAGACTGCGGGCCATGTCCAGATGAGTGTGGACATGCAATATGTCTGTGGCACCATGCACCACACATGCAGGGTAGCAGCACGGGGAGTCAAAGAAAACCCACACCGAAAAAAATAGGGTGGCATACATGGTGGCAGCACACACCATCCAAAACTGGAGCCTTGCTGGCCAAAGCCATGCTCTGCCTGCTGGCCAGGCTTCCTGCTGCAGCTACAGCTGCAGCTCCACGAGGACCCAAGAACCCCAGTAAGGCTGCTGGGGCCAACACAGTTGCTGTCCCCAGTCTCCCTTACCCCACCCAGGGTAACCTGCCATGCACTAGAGTGTGCATGGCATGGGCATTCCCCAGGGAAAAGAAACAGCAGTGCAAAGTGTGTCACTGCTACTTGTCCCTGGAAAATCAAATGCCCGTGCTCATCTGGACGCGCCCCTGACATTTTTTTTGATGGGCTATTGCTTTTAGTCAGCAAAAGTCTAACATTAAATTATTGATCCAAAGAGTTGAACAAAGTAAACCATATAAAGTAATAGCTTTATTAAAATATTAAGCATGCCCAAGTTCTGTGTTTTTCTTCCTTCTTTCCTAATGGCTATATCCAAGCTATTACTGGATTTACTCTTCCACCTCTAAGGAAAACTACAATAGGGAAGTGATTTGGCAAGGGAACAGAGGGAGGATCTTTTATCAACTCTGGTTCTGATATACTGACTAACTACTTATCTTCAGACATTTTTCCTGTACAAGTATCAGACAATGTAGTGTTGATTAGTTAGCTTCCATGTTTTACTTTTAAGGTGTTCTTAGAATTTTTTTTTATTTCCAGTGAAAATTTATAAAAATACCTTGGTTGCTTGTTGTTCCCTTCTTTTGCAAAGGAGTTTTAAGATTGTCCAACATTTATGCTATATTGGTAGAATGGAATACTATTCAGTATCTTATCTATTACACCTTCTCCACTAAATGAGTTCAACTCCAAAAAATAAGCCTCCCTGAACTATAATGCTCTACCTGAACTACAGCTGAGACCTAAGAACCGATTCCTTAAGTTACTTATCAAATTCTCAAATTTCAACATTAACCAAAGTAATATCAGCTGGTTTTTTCAGTATGATTTACTACTGAGGGATTAAATCTTCATCCTGCATTTATTTTTGTTACTTTGCCAAAAAAATAAAAGAACAGTTATGGCTTATTGCAGTAATCCTAGAAGTCAAAGTACTCTTTATACTTTATTAGCTATTTAAATTAAGGCAGCAGGAAGGAATTAGAAAACCGAATATTCTTTACACACTTTATTGCTACTGTGGCTAAAACTACATTAAAACAGAAATTATATGCAATGTATTGAAAGTTAGTAATGGTCTCAAAGCAAACAAAGTATCAAAATACATTCCCCATACTCCTAAACTTGGAGAAAGTTTAAATCTGGATTTATAGCTAACTTTACACTGAAGTGTTCCCCAGAAGCACTGCAATATTGAATGCAAGCCTTCTCCAGGACTCTCAGGAATTTCAAATATGTATCTAACTCCAAGTCTCAAATAGGACAGCAGCTCAAAATGATAAAACTCTAAGCAAGTTTCTAGGAAAAGAAATGGAAAGGGAAGGAAACTTGATTTCCATCCCCCCCGCCCATCTTATTTTTATGCTGCTTATAAGGAGGTACTGTTGTTTAGCATTCTTCAGCTTCTACTGCAAAGTATAGGAAAGAAACCTGCACCTAATGATGGGTAGAACCACAAAATGAACTCAGGTGCTTTCATAATGAGGGATGTACCACAGGATTTATAGAAGTCTTTATTGGCTATTTCTCAGCAACTTAGATGTCAGGAAGTGAAAGGGAGGAAGATATATATATATTTATGATACAGAAAGGATAATCTGACTGCAGAAGTAAGAGACAGCCACTTCCTTGCCCACTTCTAGAAACAAATATCTGTTAGGTTCTGAAATGTTTTTTCACCATCTTTTGTAGTTCTGGTTTCCATCTGGAGCTAGGAATGCATGCAGCTATCAAACACCAAAAACAAAACACACCACAGCACATTAGAAACATCTTAAGAAAGTGCCCTATTAAGATTTCCAGCCCAATTTTACGATTCAGGAAGAGCTAATCTTTCCATTTAAAATTCACTCAATTATAATCAAGTATATCTTAGGATAAAAAGTCCAGTTCAAAAGTACTGCTTCCTTATTGGAGGTCACATGATTTTGTCTAAACCACCTTAGCATATTATTGTAAATCCAGGATGCTGTATTATATTTATTAAAATTAGATATGGGAAAACTACTTGGGATAACCTTTCCCCTAAACCTTGGGGTCAATTGCTTTCATTGGGAATCTTTTCCATTTTTTACTGCTTGCCTTTTTACTTTTTGCTCTTCTCTTAAGCCAAGCATAAATGTTTCAAGAGTATCATTTCTCTCAGAAGAGAGAATACATATGAGAAATCTTTTACTTGACTGGAAAACCCAGAATAGCAGCCTTTGTGGTGTGGCTTCTGTGGTCATCTTTTGCACATAGATAAACCCTAAGAAAACCCTTCAAATAAACCCTACGCAAAATTAATGCTCTCCGTTTATTGCAAACCTTACTTTTTGTTCCCCCAATTGTGATGTGATAGACCAGGCTGGTGCATCGCTAGGGCTAAAGTTAACGAAATGCCTAGTTTTCTAGTTTGAGCAGTAGTAGAGGAGAGAGAAAACTTTCACAAGATTTTCATACCTTGAATGTTGTGATGGATACATCACCACTCAACAAAATCACTATTTCAACCACCTCCATATTTCAAGAATCAAAGGGACATACTCCATCTGATAATCTGTTAACCTGGAGCTGAAGCAACTAAAGGATTGGAGAACTTTGTAAATGCTGGTTCTGAGATTCATTCTTCCTTTGCCCCATTAACAACATCAAAACAAAGCAGAAGTAAATGAGTTCAGCAAAAAATCATCTTCAATTAAAACAGACTAATACCCATTGGCAGAGCCTTGGAAGACATTAACAGAAAATAGATAGATTTCTAGTAAAGTAGGGTGATCAGTTAATAGAACCTTCTCCAGTGTCATTGCTGTGTCATTGCTGACTTAACTGTGCACAGACTAGAAGAATAACTCATCTACTGGCAACATTTCCCTGGGTAGGTACCGAGAAAGGTATGTCAGTATGTTCCACTATAAACCTTGGGCGTTTCTAAAGGTAGAAAGCCTACAAAGCTCAAGTTTCAGAATAACATTAAGACATGTCATAGCTTCTCATGGCTTCTGTAGCTGAAGCAACTCAGAACTTAGAATTTTTGTTGAATTAAGTTTTTTGGATGCCTGAGGCATCATGCTTATGTTGCAAACTTTGGTCATTTCATAACTTTTCTATGTTAAAAATAAACAGAGACACTATAAATCTCACCAAGAGGTTAACTGGCATAAAAAATAGTTTAGCATGGTCAAACATGATGGTAAAAAGTTTTAGCATGAAGCAACAAAAAATAATTGTTATAATAAAGTTCCTCAGGCTCTTATGAAATCTAAGAACTGCTCTGTAATCACTAGAATGCATGCAAGCAAATTCAGCCTTTAAATAATCAGCATAACAACAACATTACAGGTTTGTTTTCAGCTTCTCGTTTCATCAAAGCTTTACATTTCTTTTACACCACCTTCATGACTAACCTCGTAGCATTCCCCATTATATGCTTACTAGTCTTGACAAGCTGTGGCTTGAAAGCTGGGACACAGTATGCCTAGATTAAGAGCATGTAGGATCTTATTGTTAACCTTTTTATGCTCTAACATTTTTTACTGATAAATCCAAATACATAGCATTTTTCATAAAAAGTTATTAGGTCAGTTCCCTAAATTGGAAAATAACTGTTATTTAGTTTTTACCATGGCCTTCAATTGTATCTGGCCACTGTTAGAACATATCCATCTATTATATTTACATCGTAACAATTAGTACTTTGCCTCTTCTGGCAAGCATTAAAATTACATCAAAGTAATTTAGCTTAATTTATTTTGATTTCCCTTTACTTAGGTATCTTAAGCAGACATCCTACTTTGCCTTCTTGGGAAAAAAAGTGATACTATTAGCCACCTGCTTAAAAGGCATCTGTACTAATCAATTTAGCTGCCTAAGTCCAAGAAAAATGCATAAACATTCAGGCAAAACTGTTGTGCTCTCCACCTAGTCCTGGGAACATGTAATAAAGCCTACCTGCCTCTGAATTTTTTCATGAATACTTTTGGGGAAGAGGAGCTCAAGAATACACACACACACACACACACACACACACACCTGGCAAGAACTCACAAGGGCAAAGGCAACTTCCAGTGGTAGATTGGGCTTTGTGGTTATTGTGGACAGCTTCCAAAAAAACCAAAAAACAAAAAACTAGGATTTGATTTGATTTTTTTGGATTTCCTAGAAGGCTGAAGAAATTATTCCCTTCTTCCTCCATTGGCTTGAAATAAATTTTGATCTGTGTTAACTCTCTTTCAGATTCATTTGCGCAACTGCAGCCACCACCTCACTATTTAAAGAAATGCATATCCAAACCTTCCTGCCTGCAATGAAAAAAATGAAAGTATAATTCAGGTCTACAGCACTACTCTTCTAGTAGCAAGAAGCACAAGATGAGCCAAGATTATGGTTATTTCAATTAAAATCTTTCACTGTACACAAAAAAATTATGTGTAACATGGTTTCATTTAATATTATTTAGAAAAGAATATCTGATCAGAAGACAACATTCAAGATACCTAAATATAAATAAAGTCAAGGAAATGAGCAGGTAGTATAATGGTTTTGACCAATGGAAAACAGATTTACATCAGTCCAGCACAAGGTTTCAGAGCATTATATTAAATTCCTACTTGTTTCCAACGATTAAATGCTATTAACTGAAACAAATGGTATTATATTGTGAATGTAATGTTTGAAACAGGAGGAATGAGGGAGCAGTCTGAAGAGTTGTGTTAATTGACTATAAACTCTTGGGCTAGGTACAGACAGTCAAAAAGCTGGAGGCTGAATCAATTCAATCTTTGCAGGTTAGTCTAAGTGGTACAGATTAAACTGAAACAAGTGAACAGACATTTACCTTTGATACACAAAATGAAGCCACATGTCTGCAGTGGCTCAGGCCAGAAGTTGGGGGCGGGGGGGCAGTAGAGCACAGTTCTGTACCTGTGTTCATTTCCTCTTCCTGCTGCCCCCAAGGTCTCTGGGATTTGCAATCCAGAATTACAGCAGCAGGACTCTTCAGAGTTGCTCATCACTTCCTGCTTCCTGGTGCCTTTGAGATTTGTAGTCCACAGTTGTAGCCAGCAGTATGTTTGAGTGGGGGAAGAGGTGTTTAGTCCCCACCCTGGCCCCTGACCCCAGCTGGGGTTTGATGGGGGGTGGGGGGGGGGGCAGTACCCTCCCCTCCCCCATGAACTAGATTGCATTCCCAGCCAGGCTTGCCCTCCCTCACCCCTTTGTCAGCCAATCCTCACTAATCCAACTAGAGAGGAGATGGGCAGGGCCAGCCCTGCTCTCTGGGGCAGACAGCACAACCCAACCCAGGGCTGCAAAATGCTGGGATGCTGGGTGACTGCGATTTAACTTAAACCAGGAAGGGGTCTGGGACAGAAGTTTCATAATCCAGTTTGACCCAAATCAGTTAAGCCTGATACTACACCCAACCAGTTTCATCTCAAACCAGTTTCAGTCATTTTGGCTAGGGACAGACATTCAGTTTGCACCTGAATTAATTCAATCTTTGCAGGTTAGTCTAACCTGGCTAGGCTGAACCGGTTTGTAACCATATAGACATCTCCCTCTGGAGTGAAGAAATGCCGGAACATGCCTGCAGTGGTTCAGCCTAGAAGCTATGACCCTATCCCCTATGATTTTCTGTATAAAAGTGGGAACTCCCCCTTACTTCTTGTGCCAGTTTCTGGGGCTGCAGGGTTGGCACAGGATGACTGAATACAAAGCGTGCTTTCAGCCTCTTTACAATATCTCCTACATTAACATCTCTGCCTTTAAAGACATGAATCCGCCTCTTCAGGTGAATCACTGTCTGCTTCTTTAGCCTTAGTATTACTGAAGACCCAGGAAGTGAACACTACATTTGAAGATATCACCTACACTAGCATGAGTCATTCAGTAATGAGAAAGCTAGTTGCTCCAGTTGCTCCCAGTTGAGAGAATTTTGACTTTGATTGAATGTCACGAAGAACAAGCAAAAGTGAGAAATCTGTTTCCAGTGATGCTTTCTCTCACGTTATTGCAAGTTACACTTTTATGCCTGAATTAGTTACAAAGCACATGCCTGAGGAATTTAAGGCATTCTGGAGATGCAGCAGAGCCACGAATGGACAGCAAGAATGATGACAAGTAAGTACATTTTGAATGATCTCAAAAGGGTCTGATAAATTGTTGTATAACTCACCTTGTTCTTAACTACTGTTAAGCAGATGAAGAATGAAGGTTAAAACACTGCTGTTTAAAAATACTTAGAATCATAAATTAGAAATCATGTTAATGAAACAAGCTGAAGGTTTGCCATTAACAGGCTTTTATTGCTCTTCAATCTATTCAAAATTTAATGTAGGGTAATTTCTGTTTTCAAAAGATAAGCAGCTATTAGTAGTTTCTCTTAAGGTATGTCCACAAACGGAAAAGTTCAGAGCCTTAATAACAAACGTTGCTTCTCAAATGTGAAGTAGCTCATATTAAGCAGAAATAACTAATTATCAAATACATTAGAAAATGTTTAAGCTCAAGCTCTTTCACTCCCTTTTTCAATGTACTTCTACAGCATAAGGGCTACCTTCCTTCAAACTCCTCTGAAATCATGTTAAAACTTGTCAGGTTCACTGGAAGAACCACATAGCTTTTAACAAACAACCTACGAAGCATATGAGCTGTACTTCTGATCAAAGTTCAGGAAATCCAGAAGACATTGTCAAAACCCACATCATTTAATAATCTGACACTCAGTTACCAAGGAAGATTCAACTGTAACAATAAATCAGTTTTAGATTTTAAAAATGAGCACTGATTTACTATATAGTATGTACCCTGGTCATCAGCACCATTTTCACATGATGAGTGTTTGGTCTCGTTCTAAGTAGGTCTGAATTTATTTTCCAATGATAGAGGTTTTAGGAACTTCTTTTAAAAAAATTACACCTGGAGTCTTGTTACAAACATTGATCCTCTGACACTACATGTTCAGTACTGCACCCACCAGGTTATACGAACAACTTTAGTACATCTCTATAACTACAACTCCAAACAAGTATTTTCTTGTATCATTTTAGTCTTGGGGCTAAAAAAGAACACAAATTCATTTTTCAGTTTTATTTATAATGTGGATCTCCCTGCTACTTCTCCCATTGGTAATCTTCAGCATGCCACCCTACTGTTCGGGAGGCTGTGTACAAACTGAAACAGGAGTAGCCTGCTGAAGAGGTGGTATGTTTGTCTTGTTTGGGTGTAAGGCCATCACTTTGCTTCTATAAGTAAATGGGTTTCCAAGGCTAAAGAAGTCTGCTAGTAAGGAAATGAAACAGGTATGAGGGGAAGAGGTTGACATGTTAAGGTTTTAGAAACAGAAAGCATCTGTTTGCCTCAGAGATCTGGAATATGACAGGGGGGGACTATCAAATGTTGGACTGCCTTGCTCCCTCCTATGGCCTCTGTATGTCTGTCTTCCTCCTCCTACATCTTCTTCCTATTCTTACAATTCGCTTTTTCCCCCTACACCTTGCAGTCTCATTCCTAGTATATACCCCCTGGCTACTGGTGCTTCCCTTTAGGGGAGGGAGGGCAGCTCATTCAACACCTGCACAAGGCAACCATTCATGCACTAGCACGCAACATCTGGGCTGTTCCAAAGCTCAAAGCTCTGCAGGCACTTTGGGCTTGGAACAGTCTACCTAATATACATACAACTGAAGTAGAAAGTCATTCTGAAATCAATGCAACATGAGGCACTGAATCCTTTAAATTCCTTCTACATTAATAAAGTGGAGTCAGAATGGAGGAAGTGCACCAAAGTGAATTTTATCTCCTCATGGATATAAGCACAAAGACAGAACAGTACATCAACAGCCAGATGCTCTATGTAAACCAGGAAGTCTGGTGATCCTACCTGTACAAACGATTAAGTAGGGCACCAAATAATACATACAGAAAAAGAAAATATACATAGGCAGAGGACAAAAAATACAGTTAGTAAAATTATGTGATCAAGCCAACTGGGGAAATTTCCTTCCTCACTAAAGACTTTGAATTTCTTTTTTGTGAAGAGAATTACCAGCAAAGCCATTTAGGCTAGGGACAGAAGTTGCATATAAACCAGCTTAAGTGATCAGAAACTGGTTTAAACCTGTAACAGAACGGAAGTTCAGTACACATAAATCATTTTCAAAATGGCTGAAATTGGTTTAAGATAAGTCTTACGACATTCAACCAGGTTTAACTCAGTTGGGTCCAACCAGTTTATGGAACTTCTGTCCCAGACCCCTTCCTGGTTTAAGTTAAATCAGAGTCCCCCAGCAAGCCAGCATGCTTTTCAGCCCTGGGCTGGACTGTGCTGTCTGCTCTAGACAGCAGGGCTGGCCCTGCCCCTCTCCTCCCTCACTGGAGCACTATCACTGCTCAGGCTGGCTGAGAGGTTGGAGACTGCAGGCACAGCAGCATCTGCCTGGCTTCCCCCCCAACTTTTGCCTCTCAAATAGGAATCCCCCACTCTGTCCCTCCCTCTTCTCTCCCAGAGCACAGACCCCAGTCAGCATCTGGTCACAGTCACACCACCCCCATGCTAACTAATGTTGAAAGGTGTCTACGCATGTGTGTGTGTCTCCAGTTTCACTGGGACAAAAGCAGACAGAATAGTGTCTGCTTAGGGCTTTTTAGAGCTAATCAACAGGTCAGCTGGTAATGCCCCTCCATTCCATCCTTGGGAAAAGCTTTTTTAGAAAAGCTTGAACTAATGAGAGAGACTTTTGTTTTCTTGATGGGCTGTGATAAGCTTTGTGTTATCAGCTCCCTGCTGACTTGCTTGTCTGTCAGGTTTGTGGTAGACAGTATGAAGAGGCAGGGAGGGACAGGGAGATTGAAAATCTCAGTATCATCAACAGATGTGTGCGCAACCCCTCCCCCTCTGCCTTAGAGTGCTAGCCAGGGGCTGAAGTCTGGCAACAAACACTTCTGCCCCTTGAGCAATGAGCCAGGACAAGCCTAGGACTGTGCAGGCAGGGTGGAGGTTTAAACCTGTCCCTAATCACAGTGTCCTGCCAGGGCCTGGCCATGTGCCCCCCCCTCAGCTCAGTATTGTGGAAAGGAAGGGAGGGCTGCTTTAGTCCCCCCAGCTTCTAGTATGAGCCACTGCAGGCATGTGCCTGCATTTCTTGATTTAAAAGTGAAATCTATCCACTTGCAAACTGGTTCAAGCTCTGCAGGTTAGACTAACCTGCAAAGATTGAATCAATTCAGGCTCTGACTTTTCAGGGTCTGTCCCTACCCCTTAAGTTACAAAGGATAGCCTGACTGACCTAAGCAGCCAGTAGGCAAAGTCATGCCAATAGTAACAGAGCCCATGACACTAAACCTAGTCTAATTAAATACACTATGTTCATATAACAGTTTGAAATATTTCAAGTTGGAAAAGGGTTGATAATGAGACATTCATGATATCACAAAGCACAGAGAAGTGCCTTTATGGAATCTTCCACATTATTCAAACTGCTGCCTTTATAAGTCAGCTAAGTTAAGTGAAATAGCAAACCAGCTGCTGATAGGAAAGGCAGCAGCTAATGAGAATGAGCACAGAGACTTTTTTTAAGCTACTTTTTTTAAAGCTTTCTAAGACACCTTTATAAAATGCGCTTACAGCTTTTCAAGAAAAGATCCCACTTCTAACATTAGGACTTTCAAGGCGTCTCTAGGTTGTGTCACTGATGGGTCCCAGAGAGGATAAGACAGAACATGTTTTGCCTATTCAAGTCTGCTGACATGCTCCAGAGCTAGAAGTTTAGTAATGATGTTGCTCCAGGCTTGTCCCCAGTGCTTAGTCTCGAGTTCACTGGAGAGATGACTTGGTTTTCCCAGCCATGGTCAGTCCCATCCTACCTAAGACCTGCCATTACCATAATATAGACAAGCCCTGAGTAAATTTGACAAGGAAAACTCTCAATTTATAGAAAAATCTTTTCTTTTTCCCCTTTGTGTCCACCCTGATTTGTCTGTGGTAACTCCTGCAAATCTTCATTCCCCAATCTCTTATTTGTATTCCTTGGGAAAAATTCTCAACAATCCGAAAGAACAACTGAATGTGAACATTTAAAAGCTGGGTTTCGGGTACCCAGATCAGCAACCACTGCTGCTGCTGCCACTACACAGAGAATGCCTGTAGCTATTAATAAAGAGGGAATAGGACCCAGAGCCAGGCATCCCATCCCTTTCTCCAATTTACACTTAATGCAGCAAGTCCTGCAGCTTAAATAGAAATGGTGTATAACACTGTCCCAAAAAAGGAGTTCAAAAGCCTGCTCCCATGCTTTCTTGTGGGAGAAAGTGCAACAGTAGCACATGAGACTTTGCTCAAACTTTTTCCCTTTTAAATAAAAATTTAGAAATGCATACAAAGAAAATATTTCAAAATAAAGTAACATTGGTTCAAAGTTATTTGCTTAAAATTACTTAGAATTAAGATTGTCTGGAAAATCTTCCCTCAGCTTCACTGTGTCCAGACTACAATAAAGTCTTTAGTCATATACTTTTTCTTTTAAAAATGTCTACAATATTCTGTATACAGAACAAATGTACAAGAGCCAAAACTAACATTATGAAAGTAGCTGTTCATCTAGCATTTCTTAACTCTGACTGAAGAATAGTGGGCTGAAGAAAAGGATTTAAAGGTAAGGCAAATATATAAGTTATTCCAGTGATGGAATCAGGAAAACGAACAAAATACCAACTAAACAAACAAACAGAGAGGGTCACGAAAGCATCTTTAAAAAAATCTTATTTCAAACAAATCTCAAGGCTGACAGAATATGCCAAACAAACAACAGAGGAAGAAAAATTAAGAGAAAAGCAGATGACCATGGGAAATTTCAGGGACAGATCAACAGGATAGAAATGCCTAGTTAGAGAGATTTCCAGAACCCGAGGCCAGGGTTTTCCTGATAAAAGCACAAAGTCTTCTGTTATATACAAAAGATCTGCTGAGAAAGTTGAGTGCTTTAGAATTACGATGGCTGGTTCATTTAGGATTGGTATTCTCAAAGTGTGGAAAGGATTCTCAAAGCATGACTGAAGATGATAGTTAGCCTGCAGCCAGGTTCCCCTTGTACCTGAACCTGTAGACATGACTAGTGATATAG